AACTTATTTACATTATAAGTGAAGTTAAAGGATTTATCTGCTTTATTTTTAATTTAAAAACTTAAATGTTATTTTAGAGTAAGTTTGAGGACTTAAGAAGAGTTTTTGCCGTCAATATATATGCTAGGAGGGCACTGTATCAATGAGCCAGCCCAATGTTTAAATTGCCACATCTATACCTTAAATTAGGCCAACTATCAAATCGAATTTCCTTGATATAAAATGCAGTCTTATTAAAAAAGTACTGCAAACATAAAGCTATATACATAATCTAAACTTAACAATCTTAGACTACATTTGCAACACTTCAAATCCTTAGTCCTTACTAACATGTTGAGACGGGAAGCAAAAGACCACCATCTGCACACTTCAAGAGGATGCTGCATCTTGGATTTTAGAGAATGTAAGCTTTGTTCTATATATAAATATGGAGCTGCTCCACTGCTAAATTTAGCTGATTAGCTTCCACAAGCCATGCATTCCTCACGGTTTGTTAAGGAACATACCATCTGTGCCATTTTGGTACCATCATCCTCTTCTACCTTGGGCTTTTCCTGAATCAGTCAAGCATCAAATTTTTATCAATCAAATTCACAAATGAACTGAAGTAGTGAAAATGGTATAAATGGAGCAAAAAGGGAAAAAAAACATACTTTAAGCATGGAAGTGTCAACAGTGAACTTGATGGCATCAGCAGCAGCACGAGATCGTAGATAATACATTCCTGTTTTCAAACCCTATGTAGCAAAGACAAGAAAAAGATCATGAAATGAAATCAGAAAGTATAATAATGCAAACAACCACCATAATCCAACTAACAAAATGTAAGCATAGTATTTGATTCAAACTTCCAAGTTAACCCAGCAAGCAAGCCAGATTTGTCTATCAAAATTTCAAGGGAAGAAGACAGAAGGAAGGCTGAGACATGTACCTTGGACCATGCGTAAAAATGTAATGAAGTCAGTTTTCCGAAATTAGGCTGATCCATGTGGATGTTTAAGCTTTGACTCTGGTCGATATAGCATCCACGATCTACAGCCATGTCAACCAAGGTTTTTTGCTTGATTTCCCAAACAGTCCTGGCAGATTAAAAAATAAACCCATAAAAACATAAATCCCAGCTTCAATAAGTGAAAACAAGGGGCCTGTAATTGGGAGAGGCAAAAATCCATACCGGTAAATTCCCTTCAAATCATCAGGTATTTCAGGGATATTCTGAACAGAACCATTCTCATAGATTATCTTGTTCTTAACAACAGGAGACCAGAGACCCATCTCAGTTAGGTCATGGAGGAGATGCTTGTTGACCACAACAAATTCACCACTGGAGAGGGAAAGACATAGAGATCACATTGTTGGACATAAAAATGTGGGGAAAAGCAATACAGAGAAAAAGGAAGCCAGGGCAAACCTTAAAACTCTACGACTGTAAATGTTGGAAGTATATGGCTCAAAACATTCATTATTTCCAAGGATTTGACTGGTTGAAGCAGTGGGCATTGGTGCTAAGAGAAGTGAATTCCTCACTCCATTCTTAGCTATCATGTTCCTCAGAGCATCCCAATCCCACCGATTTGAAGGAGTTACCCCCCACATATCAGGCTGAAGAATGCCCTGCAATTCAATGGCCAACTAAGCAATCAGCAAAGCAAACCTTCATCACAAGCATGAATGCTTCAAAAATCCTTGAAATCTCTTTTATTCACAAAACAGAATCAAGAAGCAATCAATATCTTAAGCATATAAAAAAATATTAGGCATTACTTAATTCTGTTTTGTGAATGAGGTAAAAATTCAACAATCAAATGGGTTTCAAATAAAGTTTGGCAAATCACGAACCTTGCTCACAGGACTCCCAATATATGTTTCATAGGGGCCATCTTTCGCAGCTATCTCGGAAGAAGCTCTCAGAGCATGGTAGTAAATGGTCTCAAAAATGTCCTTGTTCAGCTGTTGAGCCTGAAATCAATAGAAACAAAAGATTAGGTCTAACAGATGCTAGCCAAACATTTAAATACACTACATATGTAACCAGGATTAGGATTTACCTCTAGTGAGTCAAAGGCCATGCCAAGCAAGATGAAGGTATCTGCAAGACCCTGAACTCCAATACCAATGGGCCTATGTCGTAAATTAGATGTCCTTGCAGTTTCAACAGGATAGTAGTTAACGTCAATTATTTTGTTAAGATTTCTTGTAACAATTTCAGTAACCTGTAACAGCAGAAGAAAGATGAAATCAAGTCAATGACTCAAGTATCAAACAATAGAGCTCTTCCAACAGAACAAATATGCTAATAACATTGCTACCTAATTAACACCACTCATACCTCAGCCAGTTTATCAAAGTCAAAATATCTATTCTTAGATCCCCTACTCCCAACAAGCTTAGATGGATGTGACTCAAGAGGAACCCCCTAAAAAATTCAAAAGAGTGCAAAGGTTAGCCATGAACATAACATAGATAAACTAGGAAAAATGCACATGCAACTCATCACCCACCTTCTCCCTTACACATCTAGGGAGGGCAATAGACGCCAGATTACATACAGCAGTCTCTGTTGGACTTGTGTATTCAATTACTTCAGTACACAAATTTGATGATTTAATCGTTCCCAGATTTTGCTGGTTACTTTTTCTATTGCAAGTATCCTGGAAGGTATCGGCCAAATCATGAGACCAAAACAAGGAATACAGAGGCATTAAAAGAACTTTGATTTGTTCGTATAAATCACCTTAAACAGCATGTAAGGGGTCCCAGTTTCTATCTGGGATTTCAAAATTTCAAACCAAAGGTTCTGTGCCTGGACAACCTTCTTTGCCTTGCCCTGGAGTAATGGAAGAAGAGAGTTTTTAAATCAAATGCTAGGTTTTAAACCTGATTGAAGAAAAGCAAGCATTAACCAAAGCACCAAAGTGCTTACCTCTCTTTCATATTTAGTGTATAGTTTCTCAAATTCTGCACCCCAACAATCTGCTAGACCTGGAGCCTCATTGGGACAGAATAAGGACCAATGCCCATTACTCTGCACCCTTTCCATAAATAGATCTGGCACCCAAAGAGCATAAAATAGATCCCGAGCCCGATGCTCTTCCTACAAAAAATGAAGATAAAACAATATAAATATGATAAAGGAACTAACATTAAATAAGACAGCCCAAAAATATAGCAGTGCATGAAAAACCTAGTTAAAAGCATATGATATAATTAACCACACCTTTCCATGATTCTTCCTCAGATCCAAAAACTCAAAAATGTCAGCATGCCATGGCTCCAAGTACACAGCAAAAGCACCTACATCATAAGAAATATTTTAAGAAAAGAACCACCAAGGCCTGTACATAGATCAACAGGTTAAAACAACAGAATAAGAACTTACCCTTTCTCTTGCCACCTCCTTGATCAACATAACGGGCAGTGTCATTGAAGACCCGCAGCATTGGAACAATGCCATTAGATGTACCATTTGTTCCACGAATATAACTACCTGTTGCTCGAATATTATGAATAGACACACCAATTCCTCCAGCTGACTTGCTGATAACAGCACACTCCTTCAAGGTATCATATATCCCTTCAATACTATCACCTTTCATGCATATCAAGAAGCAGCTACTCAACTGTCAATGCAAGTACAAGGCCTACGTAAGTATTTTCAAAGCATCATCATACTTTATATAAGGAGTAATGGGCAGGGACTCTTTCCAAGTGTAGAAACATACTTGAGGCCTTGGTGTCCCAGCATTGAAAAGGGTTGGAGAAGCATGAGTAAACCAACGCTGAGACATCATGTGGTATGTTTTGATGACAGAATCAATATCATCCTTGTGAATTCCAACAGCAACCCTCATAAGCATGTGTTGGGGCCTCTCTACAACCTTCCCTTGAACTTTTAAAAGGTAGGACCTCTCAAGGGTTTTGAAGCCAAAGTAATCATATTCAAAATCACGATCGTAAATGATCTCACTGTCCAAACGAGCAGAATTCTGAAAGAAAACCATTCATAAAGTTTATTGATGTAACATATTAAAACTACAAAAATTACATAAATGAGAATCTCAATAAACAACAAAACTAGTTCCAAAACACACACACACAACAACTAAACAGATCTTTTCAGACAAACTACGCAATATGAATCAACTGGATGATGAACCATAAATGCAAATACTTCCTCCTTAGAAATTATAACAAAAGGAGATACCCCTTTGCTAGCCTGTCATAAAAAACACGATAAATTCCCACAGCAGTGCACTAATCTACAGAATTTCCAGTTGGATGGCTTGTCACTTGAATGAATACCTATCCTACAACTACAGCAAGATTTTACAAGGCTAATGTGCAACAGAAGACCCAATACATATTCAACCATCTAAATTATAAGTAAAGCTGGCATCATACAGGTTCTTATTTTACCTTCATGATTATCTCATAAACATCATCAGCAATCAAAGGAGCCTTTAGCCCAGATCTATCATTGAAATGATTGTACATGTCCTTGACCCTAAATTAGTCAAAAACCCAGATCAAGATATTTTACTCCAAGTAAAACGCATTTCGAAGAACCGAAGAAAATGAAAGACATAAGCACTTACGTCTCCGAGAAAGACTTTTTAGTGTTCTTATGTAGATTTGAAACAGCAATCCTGGCAGCCAACTGCGGAAACACGAGATAGTAAAGCAAACGCCTTAGATTAGATGGGAAAAAGATCAAACCTATTAAACCATTTTCAGACAACCATCACAACCAAAACAACGCTACCAATTAAACAGAAACAAGGAAACTCACGGAAGCATAATCAGGGTGGTTAGCGGTCAAAGCAGCGGCAGTCTCAGCGGCCAATTCATCAAGCTGGCTAGTGGTAACTCCCTTATAGACACCAGCGCACACCTTCTGCGCCACAAGCACCGGATCACAGTGATCACTGCTGAGACCATAACTGAGCTTCTTCAACCTCGCCGTAATCTTGTCAAAGTGCACCGCCTCCTGTCTCCCGTCTCTCTTCACCACATACATCTTCAGACTCTAATCTCTCACTCTCTGTCTCTCTCACTAAGGAATTTCGTCGAGCAGGTGTTGGGCGCTTAGAAACGAGAGCGGGGAGCCAGATTTATATAGGGAGGGAAGCGAGAGTGGGCGTGGAGCTGGAGTTTGAAAATTAAAGGTTCCTAAGGTTTCCCTCTATCTGAATTACGGAATTTGAAATTTTCCCCGCCAATATGGGGGGCGGGGAGAGCGTGGTGCATGGGTGGCGGGTAAAACGTCGGGTGTGAGGAGATGTTGTGCTGGCGCCGAGCTGTGTTTGGAAAGTGGGGGCCACCGGAAAGAAGAGTATGGAAGAAGACTCGAAACTTAAAAAGTTAAATAGAGAAATGAATCGGTTTTGTTGCGTTTTAAACCGACCCAATCATCGAGAGGATAAGGGAAAGGGATGGGAGCAATAATTGAATAATTGCTGTGGGCTAGGCTGGCCGGCGCTCTTAATTTTGGCGGGCTGATGAACTGATGATGGGTGGGCCGGATGTGGAATAGACCTAATTAGATGCCATTTTATTTTTATTTTTTTGGAATTATAGTTGCAGGTGTTATGTTGTTGTTGTTTTTTTTTTTTTTTTTTTTTTTTTTACATAATGTGAGACAATTATTTCTTATTCTTTATCATATTTTATTCGTATGTCATGTGACTTGAATTTAGAATCTCTTACTTTTAATAGAAGAAAATTATCACTAAATTACTTAAGTCGTTAGTAATATTATGTTGTTCAGAACTTCAAATTAAGATATTTTATTTTAATTGAAAATGATTCCTATTTGTTTTTTATTTTTATTTTTTATCGGCACCATTGGGTCACTTGTGTTGTTGGCTTCTAATAATATTTTATAGTTCATTCCATTTTTATGAAATTCATGGTTTATTATTGTTATTAATATTTTTTGCTTGTAGCACTCCAAATTCATGGTTATTATTATTATTATTATTTGCTTGTAGCAAATTTGTGGAGTGGGATTCAAACACGAGTCCAATAAGACTTAAGGCAAAATGTTTTAAGAATGAAACTAATAACATATACACAACCACTTGCACGCACCAAATTTTATTAGTTAGTTGATAGATGTATTTGATGTTTTGAAAATAATTAAAATTTGAATTATAACATTATCATGTTATAATTTTTTGTCTTTACCTTCAAATTGTGCATATTCAAAAAAAAAAAAAATGAAACCTCTTGGGTTGAAAATCCGGGTGCTTTT